GGCAAGAGAAAGGGTGAGAATTCCAGTCTGGACCCTTGGGTTCTACCCTCCTCTCCTACGCGATGTCTGGTGACCTTGAGCAAGTCACTGAATGTCTCTGTGCCTCAGTTTCCTCATCTGTAGGTTGAGAATTACCATGCTACCCGCTGCGGAAAGCTGTTGTCAATACGAAATGAGTTAAAACACGCAAAGTGCTTGTAACAGTGCTGGCCTTGGCCGGGTACCCCATGTCGGCTGTTGGTTCTGTAACAGTGATGCTGATTATTTTGTAGACAGGTGTCTTCTGCAGGCGGCCCTCCGCTGGGCGTTCTTTGGAATCCGTAGCCCTCACATTCCCTCTCCCAGAAACCGAGGAACTACTGTAAGATAGAGGCTAAGCTATGATAGGGATTAAATAAATAACACATGCTTAAGTCTTTTTATCATTTATGTGAGAGCCTAAGTACCTTTAGCTAGGAACTGTATGTTTTTTGTTTTGTTTTGTTTGTTTTAGAGAGAGAGAGTGCAAGGGAGAGGGGCAGAGGGAGAGAGAGAGAATCTTAAGCAGGCTGCGTGCCCAGCATAGAGCCCAATATGGGGCTTGATCCCACAAACTGTGAGATCATGACCTGAGTCAAAATCAAGAGCCAGATGTTTAACTGACTGAGCCACCCAGGCACCCCTGTATGATTTTTATATGCCTTCTGGCCAGGAAGGGATCTCTCTCTCTTTTTTTTTTTTTTTAATATTTTTTGTTTTGAAAGAGACACAGAGAGCACATGTACTCGTGCATGAGTTGGGAGAGAGGCAGAGAGAGGATCCCAAGCATGGTCTGTGCTGTCAGTACAGAGCCCGACACGGGTCTTGATCCCGTGAACTGTGAGCTGAAACCAAGAGTCAGATGCTTAACTGACAGCCACACAGGTACCCCGATCTTTTTAAACATAATTTACATATTTTTGCCTAAATTTCCAAAGTAATATGTATATTTGTGATAGAAAATGTGGAAAATACAGAAAAGCTCAGAAAAGCAAATAATAAAATCGCCCACAACCCTATCATCCAGAAAGAACACACCTGAGGACGTATCCATCCAGGTTTTTCATGCACATACACTTATTTTAGCAAGACTGAGATTATCCAATAATCTTGCATATAATTTTGCAACTTGTTCTTTTATTCAACATTATATTGTGACATAATTTTCAAGGGACTCTGTCTTACATACCTTTGTGTCTCTCTCTTTTTTTTTTTTAAATTTTTTTTAACGTTTATTTATTTTTGAGACAGAGAGAGACAGAGCATGAACAGGGGAGGGTCAGAGCGAGAGGGAGACACAGAATCTGAAGCAGGCTCCAGGCTCTGAGCCATCAGCACAGAGCCTGACACGGGGCTTGAACTCATGGACCGCGAGATCATGACCTGAGCTGAAGTCGGACGCTTAACCAACTGAGCCACCCAGGCGCCCCATACCTTTGTGTCTCTTGTTGATTTTTTAGGACAAGGTTTTGACCCTCTTGCTCAGGATTTCCAAAATGGAAGTTATTTATGGTCCCCTTTACAGGAAAAATTTCATGGGCACCCCCAAGAATCATCCATCAGTGAACCTTTGAGGTATCCTTGGGACCCAGTCTGAGAACCAGTACATGAGATGGATTGATAAATGAATAGAAGATGAATTAATGGATGGATGTGGCCAACAACACCTGCTGTGGCCGATACCTAACAGGGTTTATTGAAAAGGCTTCCTTTGGGGTGCCTGGGTGGCGCAGTCGGTTAAGCGTCCGACTTCAGCCAGGTCACGATCTTGCGGTCCGTGAGTTCGAGCCCCGCGTCGGGCTCTGGGCTGATGGCTCAGAGCCTGGAGCCTGTTTCTGATTCTGTGTCTCCCTCTCTCTCTGCCCCTCCCCCGTTCATGCTCTGTCTCTCTCTGTCCCAAAAATAAATAAACGTTGAAAAAAAAAAAAAAAAGGCTTCCTTTATGTGGGGTGAGGGTGCTTGTGGAAGCGATCTGTATCTGTTTAAGTGCAGGTCTGGTCTAGACCAACAGCCGGCCACACTTGCCGTCCCTGCTACTTGCCATCCATTCTATCTTTTGAGTCTTGTTCAGACTCCTTTTTTCATATTTGCAGCACACAGCTACTCCATCTGTAGCTGTTTCCAACTATCTATGACTCTAATTATCAACCTGCTCGGCCAGCTTGAAAATATGTGAGATTGTCTCCACAATTCTAACCCACCACCATTTAAACATATATGTGTCCTGTATTCCTATTAAACTAATAGAGTCTTAAAGTCCTGTATTGAAGTATTACACACATTAAGGACAGTAAGCAAATTATCACTGTATAGTTTGATGAATTATCATGAAGTGAAAACTTCCAGGTAACCCGTCCTCAGATTAAGAAACCGGATATTGTCAGAGTCCCAGAAACCTACTTTATGCCGCCTCCTGTCCTTACCATCCATTACTTTTGCCTGCCTTTGAACTTCATAGAAGTACACCTGTATGCACTACACATGTACTTTTTGTGATGTGTTTAATTTCTTTCTCTCAACATTATCTTTGTGAGATTCACTTGTGTTATGTGTAGGGACAATCAAATATCTTCATTGCCTTATATTCCATTGTCTGTATATACCACAATTTATTTATGTATTCTATTGTTGATATACATTGAGTTGTTTTCAGTATAAGGCTATTAGGAATGAAGCTTCTATGACCTTCTTGCACATATATTTCGTTAATATACGTAAACATTTCTTTTTTTTTTTTTACATTTATTTATTTTTGAGAGACAGAGACAGAGCGTGACCAGGGGAGGGGCAGAGACAGCGGGAGACACGGAATCTGAAGCAGGCTTCATGCTCTGAGCTGTCAGCACAGAGCCCGACGCGGGGCTCGAACCCACGAATCGTGAGATCATGACCTGAGCCGAAGTTGGATGCTTAACCGACTGAGCCACCCAGGCACCCCTTCCCCCCTGTTTTTTAAACAGAGAGGAAGATGAACCATAAGAAACTCTTAATGTTTACTTATTTTTCAGAGAGAGAGCGAGAGTGACCATGAGAGGGTGAGGTGCAGGGAGAGAGGGAGACACAGAATCAAAGCAGGCTCTAGGCTCTGAGCTGTCAGCACAGAACCTGAGGTGGGGCTCAAACCCACGAACCACCCGATCATGACCTGAGCTGAAGTTGGACACTTAACCAGCTGAGCCACCCGGGCGCCCCCATATGTAAGCATTTCTGTTGGGATATACCTAGGAGTGAGTCATGAGGTGTATGCCAACAGTTTTTCAAAGTAGTTGTACCAAGTTACCCCCCCACCACCGACTTGCAGTATAGGGACATTCCAGTTGTATCATCTCTTTGCCAAGACTTGGAATTTCCTGTCTCTTTCACCATAGCCATGCTGTTGGATGTGTAGTAGTATAACATTGTGGTTTCACTTGTATTTCCATAAGGACTTGTGAAATTGAACATCTTTTCGTATGTTTATTGGCCATTTATAAACCATCTTTTATGGAGAGCCTGTTCAAGGATCTTGCCTGGGGAAGGCGGAAGGGATTGAATCCAGAAACGGACTAGGGTCAGGCACTGAGAGCTCTGGGCCACCGTTTTATTGAAAATTTTGGTATCTGTAAGGACGCACTCCAGGGTCACTGGGAAACAGTACCTCGTTATTCTGAGATGTCCGCAGCTGCAAAACGATGGGATGTCCATCATGTGACATGATGCCTGCAGGAGACTCTGTGTCTCACATGAGCTGGAATACGTCAGGCAGGTGATAGCTCATGAGGAGTGTGTCTTCACCTGACTCATGAAACAGCTGTTGTTTGCCTGGGCCTTTGGAATGTCAGGCTCCCGCCACCAGTTGGAGCAGAGCTTGACCCTACCTTCAGCCGTAGACTGCTGCGCTACTGAACCTAAATGAATCAGCCCCACAGGGCCCAAGTCCTATATGGCAAATCCTTGGATTGCGAGTGACTTGTTCTGTGAGTGTTCCGCAAGACGAGCAGGCATTTCGAGTAAGTTTTAACTTGATAAATGAGCGATGTCTTATAATACGAGTAGTACATGTACAAGTAGTACAATGTCACAAGATCACAACTGAGCCAATGGTTCTCTCTTTCTCTCTTGCTGGGGGATTGTACGTGATTGTCTCCCATGCTCAGATGCTAGGTATCAGGCTGCGGTGTTTGGCAGAAATCAGTGATTTTTCATAACGTTGGAAGATGCCCACAATAGGCACTAGTGTATTTTTGGTCACTTCAAAGCACCTATGGACAGTCCTTTGCTTTTCCATACGAGAGTAAGTGTAGGAATGCTTTGTTTCATTCATATCTTCAGGCAGCCTGCAGATATAGACCCTTTCCTCTGCTGCCTTTTTGCAAGTTACATTAAATACAGTATATGATGAGAGTTTATTAATACTATACTGTGGTAAACATCCGTGCGAGTGTGTACAATGGTCCCCACGCAGAAAAAACTTTCATGGAGCCGATAGATAGCAGTGATTGTGTCAGTGATAGTGAAACTCGTCCTACACAGTAACCCTCTTCTCTTTTGTCTCCATCACACCAGCCATGAAGGTTTTCAAAGGTAAGTGCAGGTTAATTTGTTTATTTCTCTTTATATTTTGTATTTTATTTATTATTTTGTATTATACTACAGTATTGTAATCATTTTTATATGAATATTTTTGGGTTGTGGGACAAGTCATCTGAGTTTCCATTATTTCTAATGGGGAAGTTCGCTTTGATATACAAGTGCTTTGGATTACAAGCGTATTTTTGGAGGAAATTATGCTGGCAACCCAAGGTTTTACTGTATCTGCTTAGATGTAACATGATCCTTTCTGCTGTGTCGAGTTTCACTTTAGTACCTTTCCCACCCTGTGATCCTTGTTAAAATAAGGAAATTCCATACCTCTCTTATTCTTCATTTCTTTTTTTTTTTAATTTTGTTACATAAGTTAACCCATTTATTATAGGCTAGCAACGTTTCAAATGGTGGAGTTTCTACTGGTCTTTCAAGTCCTTCAGTCTGATGGCTGACTTTACGGTAACGGCACACGCAGTGTTGTAGGGCCAGGAGCCACGGGCCGCCGTTCTCATGCAGGAACCACAGCCAGATCCCCACAGCTCGTCTTCCATCTTGGTGATGCCACAGAAGGAGCAAGTGTACTCAGTGTGCTGGCTTATTTCAATCTCTCTCGCCATTTTCCTGTGGGAGGCACCATGATGGGTCCCCTATTTACCGAGGCTTCCGACCTTCTAGGTGCATTTAGCCATGTCTCCGCAAACTAGGTCCGAGCCCAGAGAGCTTCTTCTCTGTATTTCACATTAGCCAGAAAATTTCCCCCTTTTGAGGTCTGTTGTAGCGTAGCTGGAAAAGCTCACGCTTCGGGTTCAGACTGGACGAGTGCTTGTCTCAGCGTGCTAACTAGCTGTGTGATTTTGAGTCAGTCACTTCTTTGTACTGCTCAGTCTGCTCACCTATAAAATGGGTCTCTTGGGGCACCTGGGTGGCTCAGTCGGTGAAATGTCCGCCTCTTGATGACGCGGGTCATGAGCTTGAGGTTTGTGAGATCAAGCCCTGCATCAGGCTCTGTGCCGACAGCGTGGAACCTGCTTGGTATTCTGTGTCTCCCTCTCTCTCTGCCCCTCCCCTCCCCCCATCTCGGTCTCTCTCTCTCAAAATAAATAAATAAACATTAAAAAAAGGGGTCTATGCATGTCACAGGGATAGGGTTCAATCAGATAATTGATGCAAAAGCAAACCCTGAACCTTAGGTTACTGGGCAAATGTCATTTATTATTTACATTGGAGTGTGGACTTCATACATTTGGTCAGGCAAACCAATGAGAGGCGAAGGACCTTGGCCAAGCATCGGCCTTGGGGGCCAGAGGCAGGGACAATGGAGAAGGCAGGAAGAGTGACATGAAGTAGACTCTGGCAAGCCAGTACCCAGATTTCCATTGCTGGCTGGCTGGCAGGAAGCACAGGAGCCTGAGTGTCTAAGTTGGTAAAGCAGGCAGTGTAGAATGTCATCTGACCTCTAGAGGGAGGAGATGTATTGTTGGGTACTGGATGGTCTCGGTGGTTTTAGCTGAGCCCCTCGTGGCGCTTGCTGCTTAAATTTCACACTTGTCGGTCTGAAAGAAGCACCAGGATTGATATTACTTCTCCTGCTTTTTAATTTTATTTTTTTATTTTTTAAAATTTACATCCAAATTAGTTACCATATAGTGCAACAATGATTTCAGCAGATTCCTTAGTGCCCCTTACCCATTTAGCCATCCCCCCTCCCACAACCCCTCCAGTAACCCTCAGTTTGTTCTCTATATTTATGAGTCTCTTCTGTTTTGTCCCCCTCCCTGTTTTTATATTATTTTTGTTTCCCTTCCCTTACGTTCATCTGTTTTGTCTCTTAAAGCCCTCATATGAGTGAAGTCACATGATGTTTGCCTTTCTATGACTAATTTCACTTAGCATAATACCCTCCAGTTCCATCCATGTAGTTGTGAATGGCAAGATTTCACTCTTTTTGATTGCCGAGTAATACTCCATTGAATATATATACTAAATCTTCTTTATCCATCCATCCATCGATGGACATTTGAGCTCTTTCCATACTTTGGCTATTATTGATAGTTCTGCTTATAAACATGGGGATGCATGGGTCCTTTTGAAACAGCACACCTGTATCCTGTGGATAAATGCCTATTAGTGCAATTGCTGGGTCATAGGGTAGTTCTATTTTTAATTTTTTGAGGAACCTCCATACTGTTTTCCAGCGTGGCTGCGCCAGCTTGCATTCCCACCAGCAGTGCAAAAGAGATCCTCTTTCTCTGCATCCTCGCCAACATCTGTTATTGCCTGAGTTGTTAATAGCCATTCTGACAGGTGTGAGGTGGTATCTCATTGTGGTTTTGATTTGTATTTCCCTGATGATGGGTGACGTGGAACATTTTTTCATGTGTTGATTGGCCATCTGGGTGTCTTCTTTAGAGAAGTGTCTATTCATGTCTTTTGCCCATTTCTTCACTGGATTATTTTTTTTGGGTGTTGAGTTTGAGAAGTTTTTTATAGATTGTGGATACTAACCCTTTATCTGATATGTCATTTGCAAATATCTTCTCCCATTCTGTTGGTTGCCTTTTAGTTTTGCTGATTGTTTCCTTTGCTGTGCAGAAGCTTTTTATTTTGATGAGTTCCCAGTAGCTCATTTTTGCTTTTGTTTCCCTTGCCCCCGGAGACGTGTTGAGTAAGAAGTTGCTGTGGCCAAGATCTAAGAGGTTTTTGCCTGCTTTCTCCTCGAGGATTTTTTTTTTTTTCAACGTTTATTTATTTTTGG